CATTTCTTACATTCTCTGATTACAGTTTTGCTACACAATAACAAAACCAAAATGCTTTTCCCTCATTTTATTTTCATTAGCAACCTCTTACTTTCATTCTTATTTTACTATTGCCAGCCAATTAACAATAAATCCGAAATGGCGTAATAAAGATGATAAAATATGACTTCCACTTCGATAAATAATCGAAAAAAACTAGGGAAGACACCGATTAGAATAAGTGGAACTTGAGTTTTCCAGAAGTTTTCAGCGAAAACTGGTTTTCGTTTGACAGATTTTACATGGACGAAAACACAAGTTTTAAGTCGAAAACCAGTTTTAGCAACGAAAACATGTTTTCGATGTCGGTCAGAACATGGTATAAACATTTAAAATAAAAAATCAACAAAAAAACTAGTTTTTTACAAACGAAATATTTAAATTTGAGTTTGGAGTAACAGTTCCTTCTAGGCACAGATTTTTTGTCCCGATGCATCAGTTCGAAAATCATGTATTTTTTTCCTTGCATCCCTAACCGGCCGTCTCCATAGGATAAAATTTATTGCTGTCCAGCTGTCATTTTGGTCGCTAGATATAAATTATATCAGTGGCAATATTTGTGTGGGCTGTTTATATCTTCATATAAGCATAAATCCAATTACATAATAACAAATATTTTAAAAGAAAACACTTCAATATTTGCTTCTATATTAAAATATCAATAATGTTGTCGCCACGAAATTTTCGTGCAAATGAAAATGTAGCTGTCAAACTACCAAATTGCCGGCAATAGATGGCAAGATATAAGCTCTGATATATATTGCTCTTGAAGAGCAATGAGCGGTCACCATTGGCAAATTATATTCTGACATATGTATCAAGATATAAACTTTATCCTGTGGAGACGGGCAGTGAGACAAATGGAGTGCCACACACAGTGATGGCAAATTTAGTCAGAAAGAAGAAAATTGATGAGTTGATTTTTTTGGAAATAAAGCGAAGCGCACATTAGCGCGATTCCATCGTTGCGAATACGTTGCGAATTCGGCTGTTAACTTCGAATCCGCAAACGTGCGCACACTTGAGCGATTTTTTCGCGTCGGTTTCCGATGTACAATTCACTCAATTTTCCCTTTATTTCGTGTATTTTCGCACTCGGCGTGCCCAAATCGTACAAAATACTATTATTACGAACGTTTTTATTAGTTTATGTACATTACACGTTTTTTTTTCTTTGCCTTTATTGCTGTGACACCTTTCTTCTTCTTCTTTGACGCCTTCAAAACGCTGCAAGCCGCGTTTCGAACGCGTCAATAGAGAGGAACATTGAATGTTCGAAAAATTCGCAGCGACGGAATCGTGCAAGTGTGCGCTAGCGCATTAAAATGTATGGGTAGCATTGTTGTAATTTTTGGGCTTGCGGATTCGCAACGACAGAATCGCGCCAATGTGCGCTTCGCTTAAAGATGAAATTCGATTTTTTCTAGAAAAATTCGATTAAAATTCGAATAACGAAGCTTCGAATATCGAATTTACCCATACCTAATTTGCGGACGGCATTTTGTTTCTATACCAAGAAAATTTTACTCTCATCGGAAAAATGTCTGAACATTCTGAAGAAGCTAATCATATTCAAAAGGAGGGTGAATTCGATGGACCGCGAATTAATCATTTCGCTCAAAAGTTTCTAGATGAATTAAAGGAGGAACGTGAAAGGCTGAGCAGTGAATTCCCACTATGCGCTATACTAATAGAAGAAGGTAGCCATTTGTCTTAATATGTACATATGTATAAGTATGTACATGCAATAAAAACTTGAATAAAAAATCTTTGCAGCTATTGAACGTATCTGCAGCACTGGACGTGTACCCGGGCGCGATTATTATGCCGATGTTTACAAGCAGAAACCCATGAAACTCGTTCAGAAAGTGTTTGTTCCAGTAAAGCAATATCCTAAGGTGAGGTTTTTAACATATTTGGGCGAAAGTATAAGGAATTTCGTCATGAAACTTCGTGGTGATGTTGGGGGAGGCAACTTACCACGTGTATTTTGTTCGCAATGTTCCCCCTGCGTATATAGTACTTTTAATATACATATATCTATTAAAATTTTCCCATTTTTTGGGTAATTCCAAATTATAGTTCAACTTTTCGGGCAAAATATTAGGACCTAAGGGAAATTCACTTCGTCGTTTACAAGATGAGACTCGATGCCGAATTTTAATTAAAGGTCGGGGTTCTATACGTAACCACGTCAAAGAGGATGAAATGCGTAAATCTGGCGATCCTCGTCACTCCCATTTAAAGAAGGATTTATTTGTTGAGATAAGTACCGTTGCAACACCTGCAGAGTCTTATGCACGTGTTGCTTATGCTTTGGCTGAAATAAGAAAATATCTTATTCCTGACAAGAACGACGACGTTGCTCAGGAACAATTGCGAGAACTGATGGAAATCGATCCGAAGTCTGCCAAACAATTTTATAAGTAAAATAACATTTTGGTCTTTTAATTTAAGTACATATTAATAAAAAATATATGTTTTATGTATCATTTCAGATCCGTATATGACCAGAATATAGCAGCCAATGAGCCATCCAAGTATTTGAACTTTGCCAAACAATATGCATACCAAATGGAAGAACCATCTAAGTAAGTAGAATACAATTTTCAGTCCATGTCTTTTATTTATCGTGTTCAATAAGCAAATTTGTAAGTGCTATGTAAGTATGTATAGATATTATATATGTGTATAGATATTTGCTAATTTTTCGGGATACATTCTCAATCGTATAAATTTTGTTATGATTTTATAACATGAGAAACATTTGGTATCGATTGTTTTACGGAAGTCTGAGACTTTTATCTTTTCAAGTTTTAAAACGTGCCTTCGAAAATATACCTTATATTATTTATTGCTACGGTACCTATATCTTTAATTTTAATAATTCTCTTAACGCAACTATAGTGATGAAGAGTCCGAAGAGGAGGTGCATGAAGCTCGCATACCTAAGCGCACAATCGTACCAGCTTATGAACGCACCAAAGGTAAGCTATTATTAACATTATCATTTGGTATATACAGTATTGGCCAATACAATAGCACCCCCATTTCAAAGTGATATTGTTTGCCACTCATGTTTATTTATTTATTTTTAAGAATTTTCAATTAAAATACAGTTCATTCTCTCACAAAACTCACATAAACTCAAGTTTACAACTTTTTAAAAGACCGCAAAAAAGTGCAACAAATTTTCACCCAAATTTCAAACTTTTTTCTCAGAAGCGGTAGAATTTTTTTGAATACACAGTTTTAGAGCCCATTCAATTTTAGTCTAATAATGTGCAAGTTTCGAGTGGCTAAAAATTATCGTTGATTTTTTAGAATTTTTTTTCGCTGAGAATGTTGCGGGTTTCTGCCATATAAAAATAAATTGTGTTTAGTCGTTATATGGAAGCAAATGAGACAAAAAAAATTCTAAAAAATCAACGGTAATCTTTAGCGACTTGAAACTTCCACATTATTGGACAAAATTTAATGCGTTATAAAACTGTGTACTCAAAAAAAGTCTAGAGCTTCTGAGAAAAAAGTTTGAAATTTAAGGGAAAGTTTGTTGCACTTTTTTGCGGTCTTTTAAAAAGTTTAAAACATTGGCTTATATGGGTTTTGTTAGAGAATGAACTGTATTTTAATTGAAAATTCTTAAAAACAAATAATTAAACATAAGTGGCAAACAATATCGCTTTGAAAGGGGGGGTGCTATAGATATGTCCAATACTGTACATACATATATGTATATGTACGTCATTTCATTATGAGATACTTTTATAAATTCATATAAAGAAAGATGCATTTAAAAAAATAATAATCAAATTAATTTTTAAATGAAGTCATACAAAAAAATACATTAAAAAAATATACATTTCAATATACAACTAAATAAAATGAAATGAACATAAAAGCTATTAAAATAAATTATTAAACTAAAAAAATATTTTAGCCAAAATTGTTCCATCAACTTTGCCCTATAAACGTCCACCTACTGTCGCTATATACGGAACTCAAATGAAACGTTTTCGGGAAGCTCCGGTTAGACCAACAATTAAACCAGTTGTCCATGGAATATTAAAGAAATACAAATGAACAAGTTGACTACATTTAAATAAATTACATTCAAATAAATATGCAGCATAAGAATACTAAGTATAACCCACATGTAACCCAACACGTAATTAAACCAAGCATATAAATTAAAAACAATATGCAACGCAAATGGGTATAGCCCGTGCAGTAGAAGCACTTAATTTCACACCCCTTAAAAATATAGAGGTATTTACTTATATACAAACAAATGATTGTTTAATGGTCTAACAAGTAATAAATAAAATGTCAAATAAATTTAAATTGAATCTACTTTACTGTACACCGAAAACTATTTAACAAAAACCTATACAGTGTTGCCAGAGAAAAATTTCGTTTGGGGCTTAAACGGGTGAAAAAAAGAGCTAAAAAGAGCTAAATAATACTAATAGTAGCTAAAATGAAGAGCTACATATTTTTGTTAAGGTTGAGCATTTATTGACGTAAGGTTGTTTCTAACATTTTCGGCAATTTTAATAAAAACAACGAATTTTATAAGTTTTAAGTGCTGGGAAAATCTTTTAAACCCAAAACAAGGTGCATATATTTCGAATTCGTTGCTATGGCACTCAGGGTACGAAAATAAACTATATTGTACGTTACTATTTCGTTTCGTTTATTCAACAGTTCGATACAATACGAAAACAAAACGCATGAGTTCACTTTGGCGATAGTACACTACAGTAGTTTAGTAGTTACAGACGAAACAACAAACGAAATGAATCGTGCAGAGAAAAATATATGTATGCAGAGAAAAATATATGTACCTTACAAACTATTAAAGTCTGTAATTTCCAATATTTGAATTGAATAATTTTTTCGCAAAAATTTTCTGGAAAGTTTTACTTCCTTCCAGCTCCCCTTAAAGGTAAAATTAGTAAGGTAAAACAAAATCCGCGGCATCAGAAAAAGGATTTTCCTTAAATTAATTTTTGAATTCTTCAACCTAGTTCCAAGAGTTTTAAGTTTAAGTTTTGGCTTATATATACCAAATACAACTAAAACTTTCTGGAGCTAAAAAAATGCTACATAAATTTGAAAAGAGCTAAAAAAGAGCTAAGAGCTAAAACCCGATTTTCAGAGCTAAACAGAAAAATAAAGAGCTAAATCTAGCTCCAAAAGCACCAAAATGGCAACACTGAACCTATACCTCAAATGAAATCGTAATTAGCCGTTGGAAAATTTAACACGCAGATAATCTATAACTATTTGAAATAAATGAAATAAACTGCAGTTTATGTCAAACTTACATCTCGATTTCGTTTAGCCCACTTATTTTACTTTATGTCCGCTGCATACATATGTGACTTATTTTTTACTAATAAGGAAAAAAATACACTAAACATATCGCTACCTTAAAGTGAAAAGATTTTTGCAAGACAACATTTTGCATTTTTAAAGTAAGGTAAAACTCCATACGAATTAGATGGTTTCGATAATTAAAAGAAAAGAAAGAAATAAAAAAACATTTTTAATTTCTCTTCCTATATCATAATTTATTTATTCAATTAAACACCAATCGGCTTTACACATAACAAAGTAAAAAGTAAGATTTTTAACAAATTTAAAAACATAAATAGTTAACAATAATTATCATTTGCAAAAATGATAAGATGTCGAATGAATATATATGTATAAATCAAAGAACTGATTTTAGAACACGTATGAGCCCCGCGTGAGAACCTCTAAAGAAATTAACACTACTTGGTGCATGTCGGTTGACTAAGCTTGCTCCGGTTAGATTGCCAAACGTCTAGTAGTCGTCTCGACCGAAGATCAGCTCTGGAGCCGATGAACCTGAACTGTTCCAGTATTTCTGGGGAATCTATCAACCCACTTACGACCTTATAAAAAAAGGATAGATCCGCTATTTGCCTCCTGCTGTATTAAGTCTTGATATTGTACCTGTGGTATATATCACTCGTGTTCACACAGCTTCCGTCTTGGGAGTGATACAGCGGGCACTTGCAAAACTTACGTTGAACTTTTTCGACGTTGTTTATTTGGATCTCAGTAAATGGGACCCAGACAATGGAGCAATATTCAAGTATCGGCTGCACGAAGATAGAAAATAGTCTGAGGAGTGTTCTGTGGTTCCTGAACTCTTTTCCACTTCTACATATGAATCCAAGCGCACGATATGCTCGTGAAGAAATGTGATTTAATGTAGAAATAGTGGACTTGTAAACTTTTCACTCTTAAGTTAGAAATATGTATGTGTATACAGTTTTTCCGTTGTTATTGAATAAAAAGAACATAAAAAGTATCATCCATAAATTCGGCTCCTGTTTCGTAGTAGAAGTCTAGATGTGAAGTGATGCCACATATGTATATTTTCGCCACAGGTATTTCTTTATTTTAGAAACAATAATTTTTATTTCATCATATAGTAAGTACATATGTGCGTAATAAGCGTTTTTTTTTTCTTTTACAAATAAACTACCCAGACATTTTAATAAGATTGTTTTATTTGTTAAAAAAAAAATATATGTGTTCAAATTGCTTTATCAAATCACATAAATTATGTAAAACAAGTAAGAAAGTCGGTAAGTTCGGGCGGAGCCGAACATAAAATACCCGGCGCAAGTTTTAAATATAT